TCTTTGAAGTTTTTTATTTTTTTTAATGCAACTGGTCTTCGTGGCAATTTGTGACTTAGGTTCGTTTACTTGCATTGTACATAGAGTTGGGGGGAACTTGACACTAATGGTTAGATGAATTTTTCAAGGTCATTGCAGCTAATTGCTCAACTTATGAATGAATGGATACTTCTGGGGCTAATTTGGATCCTCCTATACTGGCCTAGGATCAAGAGCGCTGGCTCCCAGCTACATGCACTAACCACTTACCCTACCCACCACCACGCTAAAAGGAAGGTGAGAAAACTCAGTAGAACAACCCTGAGGTCTTCCACAGACCACACCAAGGGTTTTAGCCTGTTATCTGTTGCTGCTGAAGTTAAATGTGAGGTCAGGGAGGACGGGAGGGAGGGAAATGGAGAGAGAGCGCTGGCACCTCAGTACCCTCAAGTACCATTGCAGTTCTGTTTCCTGCCCAGAATAACAGAGATGACACAGGACAGCTGAAAGACACCACAGAGAGTGGCGGGACCCTCAGAGCCCAACTGCTGCACAGCCTGGGACATTGCAAGGGGGGGGACCAGAGTGGCAACCAGCAGACATCCCAGCCGGCCACCTTTTGGGCACACTCCACCACCATCTCCACCCCTGCTTCACCCAAGGGAAGAAGGGGTGCGGGACAGAGTGCCTAGCCTATGATTCTGAGACTATTATTCTCCTTTGTGAAAATTCGATGAGCTTTGGTTAGGGTCAGACTCTGTTGGTCAGGCCTATCAGGAGAAAGCTCTCATGGTCTTGCTTTCTTCCAAAGATGAGAGTCCCAAGGTCCACACTGGTCCTGGCATTCATTCACCAGGTGATCTTGAACAAATGTCTTTACTTTTCCTGTCACCTGTGTCATCCCTAGAATGGGAGCATCAGAAGTAATAACAGTATGGAAACACTATCTTTGTTTCCATCTATCTTTTCTAAAATGATGGAGGGTGAGGAAGCAAAGGGTTCCAGGACCCAACACTCCTGAGCTTGCCTGCAAGAGGAGAGAGAGCCTGACACTCTGTGAGAACCCAGGTGAGTGAGAAGATACCTTACCAAGTGCATCCCACTCTGGGAAAGCAGGCTGGACTCTCCAGAGGATGAGGGAATGCCTCATACAAGAGCCTCCATTTGCCTTGGGGACCCTGGGTAATATCAAGACATTTGAAAATGCCATGGTGATGAAGATCTGTTAAACTCAGGTTTTCAACTCCCCTCTCTAACATAGCATGGTTCTCCACAAGGACCATAAGTGAGGGATGTGTAGCCTACTCTACCTCCCAGAGGCTAAAGAAGTGAGAATGCAATGTCTTGCATGTTTAGGGGCCCCTTGGCCTTCTCCAGTGCAGTGTCACTATATGGTAGGGGGAAACCTGAGTTCCCAATATCTCCACCTGTTCTTCAAAGAGGTGAGGAGACAAAAAGGAACTTGGATGGAAAGAGGGCGTGTCCACTGTCCACCTCTTTTGCTGCTTGCCCCAAGTCTATCCCAGCAGTCTGCTTAAAGATGTCATAGCTTGAAAAGGAAGTCGTATTCCTGAACTGGTTAAAGTGCCATAAAGTATAATGTTCAATTCTAATGGGGGGGCGGGGCGGGGCGGCGGCGGTATAGAGCATCCCCTGCTGAAGACCGAGGTTCCTACCTTACCTCTGAGGACCCTCAATAGGCAATAGAGGCTGCCTGCGCAGAGGAGCCTGGGCCCAATTTCAGGGTTCTTGGATCTCTGCTACCTAGAAGAAAGCCTGCCTGGGACTAACAATATTACCTTGCCTTTTCCGTTGGTGCAGTCTGACCCAGCCACCATGCCTGTCATGGGGCTGGAGAGGGGCAACAGCCAGAGAAAAGATTCCAGAGTTCCTGGGATTTCTTTTGGTACCCTCCGGGCTTTGGAGGGGATCGGGGATTTGTGAGAGCTGGAGCTACAGCTTCCTGCAACCCTTGTAGGGGTGAGGAGTGTGTGAAGATAGGGAGTGCTATCCTTGGCCCAGTCTGCTAGAATCTTCCTTAAAGACTTGGCCTTCGCGATGCTCAGAGCCTGAGAGCTTTGGCCCCAGTGGGGCTGGAAAGCGGGGTGGAGCCGGTGGCATACTCCTCGATCCAGAGCCCCTACCCCCCTTCTGCAGAGGACCACAAACGCAGAAGGTGGATCTGCTTTTCCGTGGTTTTTGTCTGCAGAAGGTGGCGCCAGACAAAAGCTACGGAGACCAGCGTCCCACCCACAGAGGCAGAATAAGGTGGTATGAGGCTCCTCGCCTTCTTTTGCCTTTTGCCATTCAGAGAATGGAACACACACACACACACACACACACACACACACACACACACAC